CCAGCTGTCTTTATCTCACTGACCTGTTTAATTCTTGCATGTATTTTTCAAGTTGCAATTATATATTCTTGTTAGTTTACGCATTTGTTTTCTCCCTCCTCCACTAGACTGTAAGCTTAGGAAAACAAGGACTCTCATTGTCTCAATCACCATTGTATGCCCAGGACCTGCATCCTGCCGAGACCATGTATTCATATGTGTTGAATGCATGAATGAGTTTTTGATTAATTTATTATCTAGGTCTGAAGGCCAATTTATGGTAAACCAGCTAAAGAATTTTCTTCATTTACAGACTTTATAAATTGCCTTACATGGTTTCTGCATATCTACATTACCAAATCAGACTCTTTGATTTTTCAAGGTAGAGATTTTAAATGATGAAACTACACAAGGAAACACTGGGTATCATAGCTTCAATTGAAATTAATTCTTCTCCTTCCATACCATTTTTTCATAAATGAGACATAACCGTAAAGCAATATTCTATACACAGAGTGGATGTTTGATAATTCTTGTTAAATGAGCCAATTAAATTATTATTAAAATTTAGACACTAAAGTTGAGATTATTGCAAAGAAGTAACAGCAGAGTGTAAAGAGAAAAAAATCTTTGGAGTTCTGGTAATTAACTGGATACCAAGGAAACCGTTATGATTCTAGGAAATGTTGATGAGATAAGATGCATGGGTCGTCTTATGCCTTGTGAGACATTAACACAAATATTATAAAGCTCCCATCACATTTCCATAACGCACACATACACATATGTGTGCTCATGCGCAGAAGCTCGTCCGTTAAAATTCACATAGCTGTTGCATGTGGATACCGGGGGGCCAGATTTTTAGGGATCTTAATTGGTACAACTTACATCTGAAAGCCTGTGAATGCCAGGTTACAGGGGCCTGGGGAGAGGAACTGCAGTGTTCCCCTGAGAATCCCTAATTCCCACACCCTCTGAGTTATGGAGGTCACCATAGCAACATCTGTGTACATCACTGCTTCCATGTGGATGGGCCACAGCTGCTAAGCCCTACTGGGGATCCAGCACGCCCTGTCTGGCTGCATATTAAGTCACAGTCTTATTCCAAGATTTCTGAGAATCTCTGAACCCTTGAGCTCATCCCAGGAGAAATAATTAAGGTCACGCTGACTTGAGTAGCATATGGGAAAGCAGTAAGTCATTAACTGTTTTATGGTTCTAGGGTGACAGTCATTTCAGAAGGCAGCCAACTGCACCTGAGAGGTGTGGCCCCTCCGAGTGGCCTAGAGGAAAATGCTCTCAGACTGACTTATTTCAACCAAGGAGGCTGGGCAAAACTCCAGCCTTTTTGTTAGGGGTGATAAGCCCTTTCTGATTGCTGTGACTTAAATTAAGAATTGCAGGCTATCCCTCAGGTACCTAGGTAAACGGCTCTGGGATTGTCCAGTTCTGAAAACGTGGTAAACACAATTGGGAAAATATACACCACAAAGATATCCAAGTAGAGAAAAAGAACCCCACATATGCTTTTTATAGGCAGCCAGATCTAATCTACCAAATGATCTGCCATCACTGAAGAGATAGGTATTACGTACGTTTTCATTTCTGAAGTATGATCTTCTAAATATCAAACCTCGTATACCCAAAAGCTTGCTTGTTAAGACCTTTTCTTGGATATGCTGAAAAACCAGTCACCTCTTCTAATACACATGTTCAGCTTGTACACTGCACAAGTATGCCACATCTAAGGGGGCACCATTATATCATGTACACGTGAGATCACATGGGCCAATGTGGTGATTCAGCCTATCAGCCAAGTCCTGGATCAGCAGGCAAGACCCCTTTACATAAACCCACACTGGCACATACAGTCACGCACACACTTGGGAGAACATGCATGTATGCACTCATTCGTACACACGTATCTGCACAGCTGTGCCCCTGAAGTCCCATCTCTTTCCTTTCTTGCCCACTACTCTTAGAGTCCTCATTCCCTACCCAACTTCATCCCAACCTAGTCCAGTCATTTCATCTGTGGTGAAGAGGAAGTGCACAAGCTGCTGGCGTCCAGTGTGTGTCACCCCGTATCCAGCCATCTGTGAGTCATTCAGAGAGTGGGTACATGTGCGTGCAGCCAGGACTGCAGCCCGCTGGGGCTCTAGAAAGCACACATCAACGAGGTCAAAGAAAGTTAAAAAAAAGAACAGAGACCAGATATTCTACAGTGTAGCATCAAAAAGGAAACTAAACAAATGCAGTTCTTTATTTAGCTTTTTAGGGATTTAATTCCAAAGGATCCTGATGAAGAAAGGGAAGTCTTGATAAGAGACCCCTGTGGCTCTGACAGCTTGTCAATGAGCTTGGATTTCAAGGGAGGAGAGGTGTGAGGGGTGCTCAGGATCTCGGATGAATGTGGAACCACAGCAAGAACTTGCACCAATGGAGTCAGGAAGACAGGCTGAGGCTGGTAAGATTAAGAAAGTAAAGAAGGAAGGGATGATTCACTGAGGGCTGCAAAGGTTCCGTTACTTGCCTAAGGTCACATAGACACAGGTATTAAGTGGCAGAGCCAGGATTTGAACCCAGGTCCACACTACCCTGCCGCAATACTGCTCCATATGTCCATTCAATCAGCAGGTTCTCCTGGTGGTGTGACCTCTGCTCTCGTTCGGGCTCTCATCTGCATAACTGCAAGTTTCCCCAGTCCATCTCTGCTCTCCATTTTGCCCTGTTGGAATCCACTCCCCAGGATTCGCCTAGACCAGCGCCATCTTCCTAAACTCTGACTGCGTCATTCTTGCGAAAATCCTCCCAGGGCTTTCCACTCACTCCTGAAATGGCATGCCTGGTTCTCCTTGACTTGACTCCCTAGAGCCTCTGAGCCTCATCTCACGCCCCCTTCTCCTCCACAGTAGGCAGCACACGAATACTGAACATGTAAAGGCTCTTCCAACTCCATCACACTTCCTGGCCTTTGTTCACGTTCCCACCTGCCAGGAGTACTCTGTCTCCACCTCCCACGGCAACGTCCTTCAGAACTGCGCACAAACCCTACCTCCCATCCCCAGGATGCCTTCTCTGACCTCCAAGCCTCGGCAAGGCCCTGTTCTGAGCCCCCATGTTGTGTTGTACCACTCATCATGTTTACACTGTATAGGACATTCTTCAGCTTTTATGGGCCTTTCTCTCTCACTAGATTTTGAGCTTCTTAGGGCAGGGAACATTCCTGACTCATTTTTTTCTCCCCAACATCTATACAAGAACACTGGCTGCTCAAAAATGTTTATTGAACTCTAAATTACATCAAGTATAAATTCCTCAGATGGCCCATAGGGCGTTCTACTATTTGGCCATCCACGTCCACCCAGAGTTATCTTTGTCCCACCCTGTCTGCCTGTCCGATGGGATTCACCCTTCACCACTGGCCAGCTAGTCTCCTTACTGTCCCAAATGCACACCTTTTCACTTCTATGGTTCCTTCTCCCTGAAACACTCCCTATTATTGGCTATGGAGATGCTCCTCCATTCAGTTCAAGGATAACCATTGCATGAAGCCATCCCTGACGGCACTGGTCCTCTCTGTTCCTTCCTGTCCAGAAAAGCCACTGAATACACACCCCGTGGAAGCTCACTGTGCACAGACAGGGCTTTCACGGCTGCTCAACTTTACTCTAGGTCAATCAAACAGTGGACCAGCTTGTTTGCCAGGGGTCCCCGAATGTCAGTGCCTTTAGGTGTTTTTCTCAGACAGTGAAGTTTCTTCCAGACACTCATCCTTCACACTTCTGGCAGGAGGCTTACCTCCCGCTGCAGTTTCGGGGAAAAGGAGAAAGAGGGTTGTGGACTCACCATGCAGTGTGCACACATTCATTTAATTTCCAGTTTTCTCTCCTGCTTTTTCATGTGCCCGCTGTCCCAGGTCTCTCTCCGCTCTCATTTCTCTAAAGAGTAAAGCCATGCTTTCCTTTGGAGGTGAAGAAAGGAGTGCAGACATCTGTCTGCTCCATATAGAGTCCTTCACTCAACGTCCCCTCTTTTCAACCTGCTCCCTCACTATCACCTTCTGGAGTCACTGGCACCTCTCACTTGTGAGCCCCTCTGGGGTTCTCTGGAGTGAACAGGCTTCCAGGTCTTTATCTTCCTCAGCAAGATGCTAAGTTGCAGGATCTGAATTATGTTGCAAGACCTGATCCGTACTTACTTTTTTTAAAATTGATTTTCAACCTTCCCTCAAAATATAAGTTGATTTAGGCAGAAATGCTTGTTTTGTTCCCTGCAAAGAAGAGTGCCTGGAAGAACAGCTCCGTCTGCTTTGTTTACATCTGTCCATCTATCTCGACTGCTGAAATAGTCTCTTTTATGAGTTTATAATTGTTTTGTTTATATGCTATGTTTTAGTGGAATTTAGGGGAAATCTGAGATAAATGCACATATTCAACCCAGTGGGTCTAACAAGAAGCCTACTCTTGTTTTTATATACATCGTCTCGCAGTTTATTTTCCACCAGAATCCAATGTGACCCCATTGAAACTTCAGTTTCAATTAGATTATGTTTATGTTTATTAGATTAGATTATGTCCTCTACGTGCTCCCTCCAGTGCTTTCCCAATTCATTCTGAGTAACACCCCAAATCCCTATAACTCTTACGTGGTCCCATGATCTGGCTCTCTACTCCCCCCACATGACTTCTTTCATCTCACTCTCCTTCTCACCCACCCTCGCTCTGCTCCAACCACCTGGCCTCCTCCCTCTTCCCAGAACACACAAAGCATGTCCACACCACAGGGTTTTGTTCTCTCTGTTCCAGCTGCCTGGAATGCCCTTCCCCCCACTAGCTGAATTGCTAACTCCCTCCACCCCTTCAAGAGTTTTCTAAAATATCTCCTTCTCAACGAGTCCTGCATTGGCCACCCTATTTAAGACAGCAGCTCCCAAGAGCCCCCATCTCTTCCTCCAAAGCCTGCTTTATTATTTTCCATAGCATTTATGACAATCTCACACTCTGTGTATTCAATTTTTTTTTAATATGGAATGCTTCACCAATTTGTGTGTCATCCTTGCACAGAAACCATGCTAATCTTCTCTGTATCGTTCTAATTTTAGTATATGTGCTACTGAAGTGAGCACTATGCAATTTTTTGCTTAATTTATTTTCCACTTTTTCTCAAAATGTAAGTTGGTGAAGACAGAAACTCTAATTTGTTCACTGATAAGAACAGTGCCTGGTACACAGTAAGAGACAATGAATGTTTGTTGCCTGGGGGAATGAATACATGAATGAATGAACAACCCCTCTCCCCAAGAATTTGAGTTAGTTAAATCTTCAGTTAGCACATGGAACCCCTGACCAAAGTCCACTGGCAGATGGAGACCCCAAGGAGAGGTGAGAACTCACCAGGAGGGAGGGGTTAAGTCAAGGCTGATGATGCAGGATCAACACAAGACCCTAAGGCCATATGGGAGAGGCTGATTCCCTATATGGCTGGGTCTGGAAACCTCTCCTAATCAGCTATCCAGCCTTCCTGACATGGTACTGTAACAAGAGGAGCATTGGCCAACTATGTGAGTGTGGACGGCACTGTAAACCAAGCATGGGCAAGACCACAGGCTGAACATACACCTGGGTCAGCAAGAGCCTGGCCACAGAATGGATGTCTGCACTTGGGACCATTCAGGGCCAGTGTTGAACAACATAGGCACCACGGGGTGGGAAGCAAAACACTGGTGCTTGTGGACTGACAAGGCTTGGCCTGTGAGAATTGGACTGGCCTTCTTTAAACCAAATTAAGTCCTCAGGATTCTGGGACAATCGTAAGGGATGGCGGGAATGGAGAATAGGGCCCTGGGGGTGGAATGTCAAAGGATCAAAAGTGAGCTTCCTGATACCTGGGTGCTACAGTGATTAATTTGGAAAATAAAAGCAATTTGGCTCATTATTTCTATGAAGCTGGTGAAACAGACCATATTGGCTAAAGTGGTGAGTATTGAATGGAAGAGTGATGAGTATTGCCTACCTTTTAGACTTACTCTGATAATTTGTTATAAGCACCAGGCAGAGTCACCACATGGAAGTGCTCAAAAAATGGGTACTAGTTCCATTATTCAAGTAGTAGAGCACCCAAAAATATATTAGCTGTATTTGAATGTTCATACTGCTAAAAATTAGCTCAGGATAATTTTCTCAGTTAGTCCTTATTGGCAAATTAAAAAGTTGGACATCTTCCTTCCAGGCCCTGAAGCTGCGTCACTGGCGTTATATAGGGGGAAATGTTACATCAGCTTCAAGGAAATTAGTGTTCATCACTTAATTGCTTCGCTTTACTAAATAATATAGGTTTTGATTCCAGTGACTTATAAACTATATTTCTTCCATTTTGAATTCAATTCCCTCTTCCGTAAAAGAGAAGTAGTACCTACCTCACAAGTGTTTTATGAGGATCAAATGAGATCACGCTTGTCAGCAATATATGAATGTAAGGCTTTGCTATTATCCTTGTCACTGTCACCCATTCCCTTCAGAGCACACACTCACTTTATTCTTTGAAAAGGTACTGTTTGCGTGGTCCATGAAGCAATGTGCTTGGAAAGCTCTGAGCGGATAGATTAAGCCAGACATCATTGCTCCCCTTCTGACTCCATGGACTTCTGCCATGTGCAAAATGGGAACGATTTATGCTAATGTTCCTTTCATAAGGTTCTGGAAGGATTTGATATGAAAGACACTGTGTGATGGCAGAAAGACATTTTTACTTATTTTACTTTATTTTGGATTTCCTGGAAGGCATTACTAAACTGAATTGATTGTGCGATGCAAATGTCCAGGCTGACATTGCAACCATCCTTTCCACAGTATGTCACTCAGACGTATATTAACAAAAATTTGCTTTACGTATGATTCCATGGGATGAATATTAAGGCTATTAGGGATAATTTAGAAATCAAATAATCACGGGTTCTTTGAGGTTGTGATTTTATGATAGATTTATATGGGGTTTTTTGTCTGCTTTTTTTTATTTTGTTTTTTAAGAATTCTTGAAGGGTTTCCTGCTCTTTCCTTTAAGGTAGAATTGCCAGATTTGACAAATAAAAATACAGGCCACACAGTTAAATTTGAATTTCAGATAAACAGTAAATATTTTTTTAGCTTTTTTGAAGAGTTGATCACTGATTTTTATTTTAATCCAAAGCAAATAATTCTCTATGGTGGTTTTGGGGAAAGAGGAGTGACATATTTTAAGACAGCAGCAAACCTATATTTTCTACATAGATTTTTTTTTTCTTAATATAGCCTGCAACTCGAAGGAACTGAATGTTTTTAAATATGGGAATCATATAATCAGAACTTCCCTTTAGGAGAGAGTTTTGGCACATAATGTACACGACAGATAGGATCAGCAAAACCAGTTAGGATCTTGTTCAGCGAAGGAGAGAGCTCTGTAACTCAGAGACGGAAATACAAATAGAAAAGAAGGAAACAGTGTGTGAGAGATGCTGGGCCAGTGAGTACATGGCCAGGCATTAATTAACTGAGGAGAAAAAGAGAAAATTAAATGTCGAACGTAATTCTAGAGTTCTAAGTCTAGAAGAATATAAGTTTCACCCAAGGAAAATCGGGAAATCAGGAAAGAAGGCTCATTTTGAGGACAAAGATTATAAAATACCTTTAGGGCTTACAGAATCGTAAATGTTCTATTAATTAGGCATATCTAAAGCTAAGACATCTACGTCTGTATGGAAATTTAAAATGCATTAAAGTAACCTTTCAGTAAAAGTAGAAAACAAATGCATATGTGCACACCCACAGCTTTAAACACAAAGAACACAATTACATAATCTTCCTGGCATGACAGGTTCTGATGGTAAATTTACCTATTCAATTAATCTTCCTTCCAAGAAAAGAAAAGCAGTCACGAGCATTGTTTAATTTGCTTAATTTAACCAATATTTATTAAGCACTGACTCTGGTTCTGTACTGTTGCCCATGCTGGGGAGACAGAGATGGAGATCGACAAGACCCTTGTGCTCACGCAGAATGGCAGGCACGCCAAAGACAAGAGGAAATGCATAAGTACAGGGCCTCATTTCATGGGGAGACGGACGCTAAGAAGAAAAATAAAGCAGGGTAATTTTCTGGGATTCCATCTCAGGGGAGGTCAAGGAAGGTCCCTGATGAAATAACTTTTGAACAAGGACCTGGATAAAGTGAAGAAATGAAATCTCGTGGAAAAGAAGCCCAGACAAAAGAAATAGTAGCAGCAAAGTCCCTGAGACCACAGAGTAGAGACAGTTACTCGTTACCATTCTTCTTCCCTGCCCACCATTGCCGTGGCTTCACTCTGGGCAAAGTTTACTCGCCTTGCCAACTTCAGGCTTGGGTGTGCGTTCCACTTTGGACCCACTGGCATGGGAGTGGACGTAATGAAATCACATCTGTCCAGAAGTTTTGAATGTTCTTGTGTGGTTTGGCTTGGTCTCTCATGTTCCTGCTAACTGTCACCAGAAGAACATGCCCTGGGTGGCCGCCACTCCCGGAAAAAGAGACCCACGGAGCACACCCAACCTGTCCCACAGCCTGAAACGGAGCTGCCCCAACCAACCCACAAAGCCACGAGCAAGAAAAGTTTTGTTTTTTGTTTTGAGTGATTATGATTTGGGGAGGCAGGGGGATTCCACAGTATTATCGCAGCAGAAACATGACTGATGCAACAGAAACGAGTTTGAATGTTTATGGAAGAAAAGGCCAGAATGGCTAGAGCCGGTGCAGGGCAGGGAGAATAATCAGTCACTAGGTCAGAGGAGAGAGATATGGGCCTCGTGGGCTGCTCCGGGAGGTCAAGTTTAAAACATCTGCTGAGTGTGTTTGAGAGGATTTTAAGGTTCACGTTTCTAAAAGAGCCTTCTGACGCTGTGTGAAGAACAGAACGAAAGGAGACAGGAATAGGGAGGGCTACCATTAAGTGAGGTTTCGAGTAATCTAGGCAAGAGATGATGGTGATTTGACCTCCAGTGTAGCGAGGGAGGGTGAGAAGTAACTCCATGTCACACCTGTTTGGAGGTTGAACTGGCAGGACTTGCCGATGTTTTGGAGGTGGGATCACAGGTCCAAAGACATGGAGGGTGATTCCCTAGAGTCTGGGCCTGAGTAACTCTCTAGAATGTTCCCAGCACTGCTGCTTGCTCTATAAGAGACAAGAGAAACATATGACCTGGTTCCCACATACCGTAACCTTATAAAATAGCACTTGAATTTTAAATTAAAATGGTCTTTGCCTAAGGACAAAAGAAAATGAAAATCTTGTAGTAAAAACTGAAGATTTCAAGGAACGTCTTACATAAGAAATTGCGCTGTTTGTATATACAGTACACACACAGATTTGTATGCTATATTGACACACACACACGCACTTTAACCATGAATTATAGCTGCCTTAAGAAGTACAGACAGTCTGAGTCCTGTGTGAGTTGCTGGTGACTCTAATTTGAATTAGGATGTTAGTAGCAGACACTAAAAGCAAGGGACAAGTGGGAAAGACTTTCCACAGCATTTGCTGAGGTGTTCATTTGAGTGAGAAGTTAAACAGGCTTTGAGGCTGTAAGTAAGGATGACTGGGAAATAATGCCATCTAAGGAAAAGAGAGAGAGAGGCCAGTCTGGGGAGGGAGGTAACGTTGGGATTTAGAAGTGTCCTGTTCAAGGTGACTGCAGAGTACTCCGTGGACATGAGCAGCAGCGCCTGGAGAGAAAGGACTGGAATAATAATAGTAATTACCAGCTAAGAGTTTGTGATCACTTCCCAGTTTCTTAGCACGATCTAAGCACTTTACATGTGTTATCTTATTTGACCCACATAAAACTCCTCAAAACCAGGTCCCCATGAGGAAACTCTGGCTGGGAGAGTCACACAGCTTCGCAAGTGGCAGAGCCAGGCTGATGGAGCCAGCCAACCTGATTCCAGAGCAGGTACTGTTCTATGGAGGCCAGAAAGAGGGGCAGGTGTACACGGCTTTGTGAATTATGTCCTCGGCCTCTCCTTTAGTCAGCGTTAGACTGGTTTTCCTTGGCGCTGCTGTGAGATATCTACTGCCGGTTTGTCTTTCTTCTCTATCCTGGCTTGGAAACTCCTGAAG